CCCCCCACCCCCGACCACCACTGATCCTGGCACACAGTCAGGTGGGTTAAATGTTTGTTGGAGTGGCTATTCCTGAACCATCTGTGCATGGAAAGATAGGCTGAGTTAAGACAATGGTTCAAGGCTAGTTTCAGCCCCCAGACCCCTTGAGTAGGGGGCCAAGAGGAGACTTGCAAGATGGCTCATCCACCCTCATCAAAGTATCTGCTCAAGACAGAATGAGAAATTTGTGAGTGCCTTCTGATACACAGTGTACTTAGAACTCGCAGATTGCTGCAAAAACAGGCCTTGCCCTCAGGCAGTTTACCCAAAGGAAGTGGGATGTAAAACTCTCCAGCCCTAATCACCTGCTCTTTCAGTTGCAAGAGACAAAAAACCTGGGGGTGGATATTGCTCAGCACTAGAGCACGTGCCTAGCTAGCATGCACGAGGTCCTGGGTTCAATCTCCAGTACCTCCATTAAAAAAATAAAGAGACAAAATCCCAACACCGCTGGCTTAAGCAGAGACAGGTGGATAAACGTGCAGGAGCCAGGAGGGCCGCAGCTGGCTGCCTTCTGGGGCTCCGGTGATACTGGATATTCGCAGCATCAGGCTTCTGTCTTCCTCACTGAGCTGTCTCTCCCCTGTGCTGCCGTCATTCTCTGTGGGCTCTCACTGTCTGGTGGGAAAGACAGTTATGTCAGCTCTTGGCTCACCAATCCTAAGGCCTTGTCATCCCAGAGGGGAACAAGTGTCTTTCTTCTGGGAGTTCTAGCAAAAACCCTGGAAGGACTCCAAGGCCCCCCATCGCGTGCCCTCAGCCTACCATTGTGGCCGTGAGACAGGTCTGATTGGCCAGGACTGAGTCACGTGCCCATCCCTGAGGCTTAGGAGGGCTTGCTCCCTTAGAGCTGTAGGTTGGAATTTTACAGACTCAGGGAGGGGAGTTTCCCCAAAGGAGGGGAGATGGAACAGACCAAAAACCCCACTTCCACAATGACAATACCCGGTGTTTATTAAGCAATTGCTGTGTACCAAGCTCTGGTCTGAGGCCTTTCTCTGCATTGTCTTATTGAATCCTCATGCTGATCCTGGGACATAGGTAGGATTACTATTCTCAGTTTACAGATGAGGAAACTGAAGGATAAAATGTCAGGTCAGTTGCGCTGAGGCACACAGGCACTGAACGGTGAGGCTGGGATTTCCATATGAGTGATGGCTGCACCTCCCGTGGATAAACTGTTTGGGTGTGAAAGTGATGGTTCTGTCCCTATCTCCTTGTTGTGTTCTGGGTCTCCAAGGAACCGCCCTCTAAGGGGATGATTGATTGTCCTGGCTCCTCCTCTACACCAGGCAAGGATGTAGTCCTTCCTTACCTCCAGGTAGCTCTCTGAACTGAGGTCGACCTCACCCCCTTCCTGGTTTCCCCACGAAGTCACCTAACTGTTCCCAGTGCAGCTGCAGAATCAAGGGGCTAATTTTCAGTGCTTGAGAGGGTCCAAGGCAACGTGTCTCAGCCAGATCTTTGAGCATCTTTCTAGCCAGAGAAAGCCTCCTGCAGAGTCATCGCAGGAAGGGCCACAAGGGACCCTCCCATCTTACCTCCAACATGCCCCTTCATTTTTCAGAGGAAGACTAAGGCCCAGAGGAAGCAAATGAGTTGCTTGAAGTCACACAGGAAGTCATTGGCCAGAACTCTGGTCTCCAGGCCTCTGGGCTTCGAGTCTTGCATTGTATTTCATCTTCAGAACTCTCTTGGCTACCGAGTGACTGAGACCGGTCACTTCCTGTCTCTGTGCCTCTAGCACCTCAGCTGGAAAATGCAGGATTTTCATCATTTGAAGCATTTTAAGACTGGGCTTTGCTCCAATTGGGAAAATATGAATTTTTTTTTACTGTATTTATTAGGATGTTTTGAATTACAAGTCCTTTTTAAATTTTTTCAAATTGCCCTAAATACTGTTCATAAATAAGATTTTCAGATGTGGTTTGGGCTGCAGGCATGGTTTGATCCAGAGATTCATGTCTTCACCAAAGCAATTACTCATAATTTTCTCAGCTCTGACCTCCTCTGTATGTCAGCCTCATCATCACAGCAGCTTTTTTTTTTTGCAGTATCAAGAACACTGCAACAGACTCTGGCCTCACACCCATGCACCCCAGCACCAGAAGAAAAGAAAGCACCTTGGCTTAGCATGCCCAGGCAAAGTCTGTGGTTCACTCTCATTTTACTGGCTTGGGTTACATGCCCGCCACCCTTAGCCAGTGGAATGTGATGTGCTGATCAGCCAGCCAGGGGCAGAGTCATAGTCCGTAGAACTGTTGGCATCCCCATACCGAATTCAGGGCGTCGGAAAGGGAGTGGGCTGGCGCGTAGAGGCTAGGTCATAACTGGTGCCTTTTTCTATGCTGACCATGACCCTTTTGAGTCTACAGAGCCGGAGATAGACAAGGGGTCCCGAGAGTTTGCCGGTCACCTTGCTCCGTCCATCTGGGGCGAGGATCCAGGTGTGGGTGGATGGCCCTGCCTGGCCCTCTCCGGGTCTCACCACATTCTTCTTTTCTTGTCTCCAGACAGAGATTACTGCAGTTTATGTGACAAGCAGCCAATTGGGAGGCTGCTTTTCCGGCAGTTCTGTGAAACCAGACCTGGGCTGGAATCTTACATTCAGTTCCTTGACGCAGTGGTAAGTCCCTGCTCCTGAGGGTGGGGGGGAAGCGGGGAGCATTTTGACTTTTGATCAGTAATCAACTTTGTCCAAAGGAAAATAGACCACATGGCTTACATGGATGAAGAATAAACTTGTTGCTTAAAACATTGCCAGTGCATACTGTGAGAATGCAGGCTTGTCTCCAGGTCATCACCTGCTGTGTGGCCTTGGGGGGCCACCTCCTGCTCTGGGCCTCGGCTGCTGCTGCTTTTACATGAGGTTCTGTCTGTCCTCTGATTTGGGGAGCCTGGGTTATTATGCGATAGTGTCTAGGAAGTTGGGTGATTTTCCCAACACCCCAAAGTAGCTCTTGGAATCCATGGTCCCTTCTTCCAACTACGTTTTCTAAAATTCCAAAGCTTGTGTTTGTTTGTAAACTTGTTTACCGTCTGCTTACCCACTAGAATGCAAGCTCCCTGAGGCCAGGACCCTGGGCTTCCTGCCTAGCATTTGCCCAGCACATACAGGCATCCAGTAAATGTTTGCAGGAGGAATACATGTTGGTCATTTCGAGCCAATCTGACAGCTGCTGGCTGCACTGGCTGCTGGCCCACGTGGCCATGACTGACTCCAGGCTGACTTCCTCCAGATGTACTGGTCATTCATTTGTTTAACACATGCTGATTGATCTGTGTGGGCTTTTAGAACAGAACGTGGAAACACGCCTGAGTTCTTCAGCACTTGCTCAGGAGGGCAGGGCGCCTCAGCCTGACATGCTTCCTTTTGGGTGTCTATCTGAGGAAGTGGGGAGGTGAAGGATGGGGGTCAATCATGAAAGGATTGGGAGCTTCCAGGCCCCCCTTTCCAAGGCAGGGGGTCATGATGCTGTTGCTTCCTAGAGGGCCTAATGCCATCATTGGCTGCAGCCATCCTGACCTCTGTCTTGGTTTGGGGGATAGCCCTGTGGAGCCCCAGTTTCTGTGTCTGCTTCAGGGTCTCAATGTGGATCTCTAGACCCACTGGCCAAACTGTCTACTGAATGTCTCCACTTGAAGTCACGTGGGCCCCTCAAAGTCAACATATCCTAAGCAAACCCGGCACCTTCCCCCGCCCAGGCCACCACAGCTACCAGCCCTGACAAGGCCCCTGTCCCAGTGACCAGCACCCCACCGTCACCCAAGCCTGAAAGCTTTGTGTTATCCTTGACCCCTCCCTCTCTGTCATTCCTTACCTAACCCGATCTGGGACCGTGTGCCTGGCTGCTTGACCTCACCCGACCCCGTTCCCTCCCCTCTGGCCTCCGTCTTGGTCTCCGTGTAAATAGGCTCTCGCGGGTCTCGTACAAGGGATGACGACAGTTCTCAGCCTGGGCTGAGCAGTAGAAACACCTGGGAGTCTTAAAAAACACCAATGCCTGAGCTGAAGCCCAGACCCATTAATTTGAATCTCTGGGGATGGAGCCTAGTATGTTCATAACTTTTTATTATGGAAAATTTTGAACTATAAAAAGTGAAAGTCTACGGAATAGCATAATGAACCCCCATGCACCCTTCACCCCGCCTCAACAGCTACAAACTCCAGGCCGATCTTGTTTCACCCACATCCTCTCCTCTGTAGCATTTTGCAGCTGATCTCACTTACGTCATTTCATCTGTGAACATTTCAGGATGTATTGCTAAGTGATGAGGTCTCTTTAACCAAAAAACCCCACAATACCATTATCACAGCTATAATAATAATAATAATAATAATAGTAATAATAATAATAATAATCATCCTATATCATCATCAAATTAGTCAGTGTTCAGATTTCTGATTTTCTCATACTTTTTGTGAATGCATGTTTTCACGGTTTATAACCATTTCCAAGGGCGTCCCAGAGTGTGAATGTTGTGTTTTCACCCCCATGTGTCATTTAATATGTTCCTCTGTATTTCTTGTAAATTGCTCTTTGAATCTAGAAACTTGGTCAGATTCGGTTTCACCTTGGCAGTGGTGGGACTGACTTCATAAGTCATTTCATGCTCTCCTGCTTGGGGACTTGCAATATCTGGTCGTCTGTCTTTCTGCGACAGCAGCAACTGTTGATATTCAGGACCTAAATGTGTTGATTAATTAGAGGTCGTAACAAGGGGCATTCTAAAGTCTGTCATTCCTCCTTCATTTGCTAACTGGGAAACACTTCCTTTCAATTACTGTTTGGTTACCCAGTGGTAAAGTTCATGCAGGAGATGCTTGATTCTTTCCCTATGTTTATGTTTTCGAAGGACCAAATTGGGTCTCTGGCGTCTTCCAATGCTAGTAACCAGTCGGAGTTTTAAGTGCGTGGATATTAACATGGGGGCATTTGGATGCATTGGGGCCCCGTGGTCTCATCTTGGGCCTGTGGGAGCCCTTCAGGTTGGCTTCTGAACCCTTGGGAGGACCCCAGTAGACACTGGCAGCCTCCTTGTTCTCTGGTGTGATGTGATGTTCTGGGCTCGTCTTGTATGTTTCCTGCCCGGCACTTAGAGTTCGTCATTGCTCCAAGGATCTCTGCTTCCTTTTCCTGGGAAATTGTACGTGGAGACTACAGTTTAGCAGTAGGGGTGCTCATTACCGGTGGATTGGCCATTGTTGGGGGCTGGCATTGGCAGTTTTTAAATCTCCCAGGACTGTACTGTGTATGTGTCTAGGGTTAGGAAACACTGACATTCAGGATGAAGTCCAAGTTCTGCGGCTGACTTACCAGACCTTCCACCCACGGGCCCCTGCCCGCCCTTTCATCCCTGGCCTTCTCCAGGTCTTTCTTGAGCCCTGCATTCCTGGCCTCCAACCTGCTTGTGGTGGCTCTGACTTGCCAGGCTGATTAAAACCTCTCGGCCCTGACTCCCCACCTCTCGCTGCCTGAAATGCCTCCTCTGCCTGGTGAGCGCCTGCCTGCTCGTCACCCCCGCACTCTGCTCTCGGAAGCCTTCCTGGTCCGCCCTCTCTCCCCCTGTCCTCCGTGCTCCAGGTGCTCGTGGTGAACGCACCTGAGCCTCGTTACTGCACGGTGCCGGCAGAATGGTGGGTTGGGAAAGTGCAGGCTCCCGAGACAGACCACGGGGCAATGCTGGCGCCATCCCAGCTGCCACGGAAACTGTGGGCAGGCGCTCAGCCTCTGTGCCGCACGCCTTCACCTCTAAGCGGGGACATAGTTGTAGCTGGTAGTGGTGGAGGTGTTGAGGGGAGACGGAGCTCACACTGCTCAGGGCAGTGTCCCGCATGTCCAGATGTCGCCAGCACGGCTTCATTTGTGTGCCTGCCTCTTCCACTAACTGGAAGTCTCTTGGCGGGACAGATGTAGCTCATCACCTCTGAGTCCTCACAATGCTGCACCTGACAGGTGGTGGATGCTCAGGACTCGCGGCCACTGGGGGCTGGTGACGTGCCCAGAGTCACACTGAGAGTGAGTGGCAGAGTGTGGCCTGAACCAGCTCTCCCAGCCCCTAGTCCTATCTCTGTCCTTTACGTCGTGCTGCCTCTGTGGTGACAAATTGGGCCTGGCTTCCCAGCATCTGCGGTGGGGTAGGCTCGTTGTTTGAAGCAGACCTACCATGAATCCTTCTGCAAAGTGACCGTCAGTCTCCCCAGGACCCTGTGTAGTGACGTGCTCTTTCTCCCAGATTGGATTTTCTCAAAGCAAGACCCGGAAGTATGGAAAGCCAAGCCGCCATGATTCTGTCTCAATCCCACTTCAGTAGCCAGGCTGGGAGAGTTCGGGTGTCTGTTTTGTGTGTGAACAGGCAGGTTTGGGCCCATTACACACCCTGGGGGACCCACCTTTATAAGGGTCTTTGTGGCCATCAGATTTGGGGGCTACTTGCCAAGAATGCCTCCAAAGCCCACCTCACAGGCTCCTGGAGGGCTCACAATGCCAGGTGGCTTGGGAGCCCTTAGCAGGCCCTGGGTCTTCGTTTCCTTTCTCCGTGGGGTCACGGAACTATGACCCTGGCAAGGCTGTCACTTGGGGCAGGAAGAGAAGCCCCAGTCTCATGTTCCCAACCATTCTTTGGGTCTTTCCTTCATTTAGCAAAAATACTGTCTGCCAGGCACAGTTCTAGGCCCCTGGAATAAATCGGTGAATGAAATGGACCAAGATCTCTGTCCTCGTGGTGTTTACATTCTATTCAGGGAGAGATGGGTCACCAACAACAAGCAAAATGCGTCAATGATGTGGAATGTTAGGAGGTGATGCACGGGACAGGAAAAGGAAAAACTAGGGCAGGTTAAGGGGTGCAAGTGGGCAAATGGGGGGCTGCTTGTAGTGTTAAGCAGGGTGGTCAGCAGAAAGACCTTTGGAAAGGTGACACTTGACAGAGGGTGAGAAGGTGTCGAGGAGGTTGGCAGGTGAGGATATGGTGGCGGAGCACGTGGGCTGGGGAACAGTGCAAAGGCCCGCAGGCAGGGTGTCCATGGCCAGAAGGGAGCGAAGGGAGCCAGGGCAGATGGGATCTAGGAGCTGACCATGCAAGACCTTATTACCATTAAAGAACTTTGATGTTGAGTGAAGTAGGGGAGCCACTAGAGGGTTCAGAGCAGAGCAGTGGCATGGTCTGATTTAGGTTTTTATTTTTATTTTATTTTTAAAATTTTTTTGTGGAGGGAAGAGGTAATTAGGCTTTTATTTATTTATCTTTAATAGAGTTACTGGGGCTTGAACCCAGGACCTTGTGCGTGCTAGGCGTGCACTCTACCACTGAGCTATACCTCCCCCCAGATTTAGGTTTTTAAAGGCTCCCTCTGGCTCCTGTGTTGGGATTGGGGTATGGGGGGCAAGGTGGGGAGTGGAGAGCTCTGATAGTGAGAGCTGGTGGCACTCAAGCCAGCGTGGAAGCAGCCAGCCACAGTGACAGGTGGTAGGATTTGGGGCCTGTTCTGAAGGCAGAGTTAACAGTGCTTTCTGGTGCCCTGGGGGTGAGAGAGAAGAATTGGGGATGATTTCAGAGTGTTGACCCGCACAAGTAGGAGGATGGAGTGAGGGTAAGGCTGTAGGAGGCTCATTTAGGGGAAGG